ATACCATTTAATTAAAACTGAAGGGGTGGGAGGTGGGCGTGGGATCTAGGACTTATGCAGAGGTGGGGGTGGGGGTGGAGGGCGCGAGGCAAAAAAGTTTAAGAACCACTGGTCTAGAGTGTATCACAGTATGCAAAAGTAATTTTTCTTTGTACTTTTCGCACTATAGGTCTGAATCTGGATTAAATTTTTGGATAGGTCGCTGGTTCACACTCCAGTCACCCCTAGTTCACCCAGTTTTTTGAGTACCAAACTTTACAGTTGGGCAAAGTGAAAATGGTAGAGTGCAGTGCCGGTCAAACTGCCCCTATTGTATACCAAAAACAGGATTAGTTTAAACTGTGCCGTATACCTACTGGCCGTAACGATCCTTTAGGTCTACTGGATTCATTTTCATAGACTGCGCCGTCAAGTATGATGTGTTTCTGCTCGGTCAGTTTCTACCGTGATTTATAGGAGAAAAAGTAACTAAATTTATATCTTCGACAATATTGTACGAGTTTATTATTAAGGTTACTGTATATATGCTTAAGTCTCCGTGACCTATGTTTACTGTTAAACGTGATTAATAAGTTACAATAAAAAGTGAAAGTTTTTATTTTTAGATGGCCATTTGTCCAATACTGCGTACCCATGAAAAAAGAACACAGGCGAAATCCTGGGTCATTTGGACAATATTTAGAGGTGGCTCAAGCCATTTGAAGTTAACACTACTGAAATTATTATTGATTTTTTCTAATTTCTTTATTTATGAACCGATTACTATGAAACTTTGCAGGTATATGTAGAATGCAAATTCAAACTAAAGTTGTTCCTAACATTTTTTCTAAAAATGAGTAATGAGTATTTTGGCTGGTGCAGCTATTGGCAATGCAGAGGGGAGGGAGAGGCGGGTGTCAGTCGGGGTAGGGGGAAGAGGTTGTGTGCCAGTGTCTGACTGGTACAGTAGCATCAGTTGTGTGTGAGACGTGACGGTGGGTGTGTGTGCGTCGCTCTTGTTGCAGTATTACGGTTAGTACCATTGTCTTTGTCTAAAATCAATGCATCAATTTAGGTATATAACACTTTAAAAACTTTATACAAGTGATCTTGCATGCCGTATGCTTTATGGGTGCTGTTGTTTGCATAACAGTAACAACATAAGTTACATAAATGTTTTTGTTTGTTTCAGGTTCAATGGAGAGTACACGTTCAAAAACTGAAGTTTGGCTCATTGGTCAACACAAAACCGAAATCACGGGTGCACAACTTCCTTCAAGAGGAGATGTTCTACGTCTGTTTTTCCACGGTCACAATGAACATAAGAAAACAGTGAATGATTCTGCGAGTGAAGTTGCAGCATCGGTTATTAGTTTCTGGAATAAAGCACGGATTCCTACCATAACTGAGAAGAGTATTGGACGAAAGGTAGTGGATCTTTTTTTAATGTGGAAGGGACTTAAGAAAAACTGCACTCGCACTACAGACACACAACGTAAGAAAGAGGAAACTTTTTGTGATGAGTTAGAGGACCTCTTCGATGTTGCCCACCCCAAGGCAATGCAGCTCTTGACCATCAAAGAAGACCGAGCATTCCTGGCAGCGCAACGAGAAAAAGGGAGAAGAGGTGTAATGGCAGGAGTAGACAAAAAGATTGCTTGTTCCATCAAGCGTCGGGAAGAAAGCAAGAGTAAGCAATCTCTACAACAGAATCAAGCCAGTTCTGCTCTTGAATATGATGAGTTGGGTTCTTCGTCTGAAACAGAATCACAATCAAGCTCGTCATCATCTACAAGTTCCCTAGCGATATCACCAGTGGTATCTTCTTCCAATCGTAAACGTGCTACTCTCAAAGTTATCACCCCTGAATTGTCAAGTACATTGGACCGCACTGGGATCAGTCACCGCTCTGCTCTCCGGATCGTCAGTGCCACGGCTGCTAGTCTAGGTCATGACCCAATGGAACTAGTTTTAAACTATGAGACAGTGCGTACTTCGCGAGCGACCCACCGTTCTGGGATTGCCAACGAAATTAAAGAAAAATTTCAACCTAGTGAAGTGCTCACTGTGCACTGGGATGGAAAAATTATTCCTGATGAACAAGGAGCGAGTGTTGACCGAATCGCCATTCTTGTCTCCGGAATCAATACTGAAAAGCTGCTTGGTGTCCCGAAACTATTGTCAGGGACTGGACAGGCCATTGCTACAGCAGTCAGTGCAGCGCTGGAAGAGTGGAAAATATCAGAGAATGTTTCAGCACTCAGTTTTGACACAACAGCTTCAAACACTGGGCACTTGTCGGGGGCATGTGTCATTCTGGAGCAGAAACTCGGCCGCCGTCTTCTGCATCTCGCGTGTCGTCACCACATCCTTGAGCTTGTTGCCGAGAAAGCGTATGTGGAATGCATGGGGCCTTCCTCTGGACCAGATAATACTCTCTTCTCTCGCTTCAAGCATAAGTGGAAGGACATCAGTCAAGATGACTACAGCCCTCTCTCAGACCTCCCTCCAAGTTTGTACGAGAAACGAGATGACCTCATCTGTTGCTGGAAACATCATCTGGGCAAGAAGCAGCAGCCACGTGATGATTACCGTGAGGTACTGGAGCTAGCAATCAGGTGTCTCGATGGAGCTCTACCCAAGTTTAATCTCCGACGGCCCGGAGCACTTCACCGAGCACGGTGGATGGCTAAGCTCATTTATGTCATGAAGATCCTGATTTTTGCTAATCAGTTTAAACTAACTGCTCGTGAGACATTAGGCTTGAAACGATTCACATTCTTTGTGCTAGAGGTGTATGTCAGTGCATGGTTCACGGCCTCCGTTCCATCCTCCGCTCCTGCTAATGATTTGCTGCTCCTCCAAGACCTGTCAGAGTACCACGACGTCAAAATATCAAGAACATGTCTCACAGTCTTCGGTCGTCACCTGTGGTACCTCAGTGAAGGCTTGGTGGGTCTTGCACTCTTCGATCCACAAGTTAATGCAACAATGAAGACAAACATAGTTCGGGCAATCGTTGAGAGGAAGGCGACCGAGGATTCACCAAAACGTGCTGCTCTTCCTGCCACATCTTCCCTTCCCACAAAGCAGCTCTCAGACTTTGCTTCTAGAGGATCAAACTTTCTATTTGAAAGTCTCAAAATGAAGACTTCTTTTTTGTCCAAGGAACCTGACACATGGTCTGATGATGAAGACTTCAAAACTGGCGTCGCAGTTGTGGGTGGTCTCAGAGTCATCAACGACACTGCAGAGAGAGGGATTGCCTTGATACAGGCATTCAACAGCAAGATCACGAAGAGTGAAGACCAGCGTCAACATCTGCTGCAGGTTGTTGAAGAGCAGAGGCGGTCACAACCAGGGACATCAAAACAGGACCTTACAAGCAAAAAGCGAAAACAATGAATGGGTTGTCCACACCTCTCCCACCCATTGATGTAAGCGTGTTCACTGCAGTTTCATTTTAAAAAGGAATTAATCATTTATATGTACAGTGTACACATAAACTTGCTCAATATGTAAATTTTAAAATAAACCGGCATATTATGAATATTCGTATTTTTTGCCAAAGGGATAAAACTTCAATTGACTTGAGCTACCTCTAAATATTGTCCAAATGACCCAGGATTTCGCCTGTGTTCTTTTTTCATGGGTACGCAGTATTGGACCAATGGCCATTCCATTTAATCAATTTTAGAAATTCACCCCTATGCACTATTGTCACCCTAGACTGATTAAGTTTAATAAATATTTCCGTGGCCAAGAAGAACTCAAATATGTAAATGTGGATTTAAAATGACCATTAAATATAAAATGACTTAATAATTTGTAACAACCATTTGCACATGGCGCGGTCAGGGAACCAAGGAGAAGAGACCCGCTATTATCAACCGTGAAAGTGTGAACTTAGTTTTCATATGATGCTCTGAGACGCAGTATATGTTGGATGTGTGATGATGTATTAGCGTAGAAGAAAAAACAAAGATATAGACAGATAAGAATAGAGAAGGAGAAGGGCAGAACCGTATAAAACAGTTATAACATCAATAGCATGTTAGATTGTATTGTTGCAGGTTAAATTATATCCAATCTGACCTAGATATTAACTCCAGATGTTCATCTTCCTGGTCTTAAAACACTTTCTTTATTAGAAAGCACATAATTTTATGGTAAGGTGCTATTTTGGTGGTTTCATGGTAGGTGCTATTCATTGCTCACTGCGCAAACCGAAGACCATAACTCCACTGAGCGCATTTATTATTGCCCCATCATCCAGTCCTCCGTTTTGGTCAATGGTGTCTGTAGTTCAGGATCTCAACACAGCTGGCGTTGCATTATCTTATTTAGTTTTGATAATAATTAATTCGGAAAAAAGACACGGACTTTCTGAGGTGACTGTACTTGACGTCTCAGGTGATGTAAAGGGTTTGTGAATTATCATTACGGTGCTGTATAACTGAGCTGTGTGTGTGTGTTTACATCAGGCATGCAAGAAGGCGTCGAGGCTATCACGCGGTGTGTGTGTATGTGTTCATATGCTCACATTAATGCATTCTTTTAGTACAAACTGCGAATGTCTGTTAAATTAGACGAGTACATACAAAAAATATTGCCCCTTTTCTTGTTGATACAATATGACACAATGGACGAACAATAATCTGATCACTATTTATGAATCCTTGACAACTGAATCGAAATGCTGAGCATTATGTTCATTAATTTCCAAACAATTCGAACCCAGGTGGCCAGAAAGGTTTTGTGTGTATACTTCACTTCCTAGCAGCTGATCGACAAAACACATAGTGGTTCACCTATAACAGAATATAAACCCAAATTAAACTAAAGAAACTATATTTAGCTTCAATAAATAAATAAAACACACTTAACTCACTTTCTCATAGTAGGAAATATGGGAAAAAAGGACACACACACACACACACACACACACACACACACACACACACACACACACACACACACACATATAGAGAGAGACGGGGCAGAAGAGAGATAATACTCACGCCTGACTGTAAGGTGGACGGCGTTACTGGTGGTGCGGCCCTCGATGTTGGCGGCGGTACACGTGTAAGAACCCGAGTGTTTCCTCTGCAGGTTCCTTAGCACCAAGTCCAGTCCGTTCATCACCACACCCGCGCTCATGTTGTGCACCAACTCAACACCCTGCAACACGAGTGCAATACAGAGAGTTAAGCATTCTGCAAGACTTGTAACATAAAATCAACATACTTAATCCCTCAAAAGTGGCGATATTTGAGCATTATATTCAGTACTTACAATAAGATCCTAATATGCCAGTTCAGTACCCTGCAATATGAATGCAACACAAAGTTCTGCACTACAAACCTTGCAACGTAAAATAAACACAACTTCTCGTCCCTCAGAACAGTAACGACGTGCTAGCTGTGCGTGCAAGACTTGCAACATAATATGAAATTAGTCTAAGGATCTGCAACACGTGTCGAACACTACCGAATATTCTCGGCGGTATATCAACATCACGTCTTTCAAATACAGTGACAATGCATAAGCACAAACTCCGGTTCAAGAAGCTGCCACTTCAATACAATTATACAGGGTTAAACATTACGTAAGCCTGGTAGCATAATATCAAAGCTCAAGGTTCGAGAGACAGTCCACACATGCTTCATGACGGTTCATCTGCATCATGACTTATGACATAAACAAAACACAGACGTTTCAGTATTTACATCTTTCGACACAGACAGAAAGTAGAGAGATATAATACCCGTCCTTGGACATAGCAAAGTTGTTTAACATGTCCTTAAAAACAGGTGTAATACCAGAATCCTGAAGGATAGCGAATGTAATACCGATTTTCAAGAAGGGGGATAGATCACTATCCTCTAACTACCGCCCAATCAGTCTAACATCAATAGTAGGCAAATTACTGGAAGCAATCATTTCAAACTCTATTCGAAATCACCTGGAGAAGCACGGATTGATCAATGATTCCCAGCATGGCTTCACAAGCGGACGTTCTTGTCTAACTAATCTATTAACATTCTTTTCATCAGTTTTCGAATCGAGGTGGACTTATGATGTGGTATATCTCGACTTTAGCAAAGCCTTCGACAGAGTCCCCACGAAAGACTAATTAGAAAGGTAGAAGCACATGGCATCAAAGGTAACATCCTTAAATGGATTAGGGCGTGGTTACAAGACAGGAAACAGCCAGTGAGCATTAACGGCTATAAGTCCCATTGGAGCAACGTCACAAGTGGAGTTCCCCAAGGCTCAGTACTTGGACCATTATTATTTATTATATGCATAAACGACATAGATATCGGCATAGACAGCAACATAAGTAAATTTGCTGATGACACTAAAATAGGACTTGTTATTAAATCTGACGAGGACTCTGCAAAACTACAGGAAGATCTAAACAAATTTTTCGAATGGTCTGAAAAATGGCAGATGAAATTCAACGTGGACAAATGTAAAGTACTCAGTATAGGAGATGTAAACAGGGAAACCAGATACCAGATGAACAACGATGCCATAGAGAAATCCGACTGCGAGAGAGATTTAGGAGTAATGATAAGTAGGAACGTTAAGCCAAGTAAACAATGTGTTTTTGCTCGTAACAAGGCTAATAAAGTACTTGGGTTCATACAAAGGAGTGTTAGTTACAAGACTAGAGAGGTCATCCTAAAACTGTATCTTGCTCTTGTGAGACCACACCTGGATTACGCAGTTCAGTTCTGGTCGCCGTATTACAGAATGGATATAGAATTCTTGGAAAGAATTCAAAGGAGAATGACAAGACTAATCCCGGGCATTAGGAACCTTGAGTATAGACTATAGAGACAGGTTAAAGCATCTTAATTTGCACTCCCTCGAGAGACGTAGAGCGAGGGGCGACCTGATAGAGGTGTATAAGTGGAAGTCAGGGCTAAACAAAGGGGACATTACAAAGGTACTCAAACTATCCAACCAGGAGCGAACTCGTAACAATGGTATTAAATAAGACAAATTTAGATTTAGGCGTGAAGTAGGTAAACACTGGTTTGGAAACAGAGTAGTGGATGAATGGAACAAGTTACCAAATATCATCATTAACTCGCATACGCTGAATAGCTTCAAACATAGGTTGGATGGATATATGAGCAATAGGGGTTGGGTGCAAACGGGACTGCCCAGTATGGGCCAATAGGCCCGCTGCAGTTTCCTCCATTCTTATGTTCTCATGTTCTTATGAACCTGCAAAACTACGTTAATTCTCATACTTTGCAACGCATTCTTACCTCACTGAGCTTATTCAACATGTTGTGCACGTACAAAACTTCTCTTATTGCAATGCACAACAAAACTCCAGCTTCGTAGTTAAGAACAACATCACATAAGTATCAAACAAGGGTAATACGGTTACTTCTGCAACACAACAACACACTCGTTCTGTTCTCACTTACCACAACATAACCACAATACTAAGTTTTTTGTACCTTCTACAACACAATCACAAAACCTTTGGTTGGATTTTACCTCCTCCAATACAACCACACCACAGTAGATGTGTCTCTAACTACTGCAACATAACCACAACATATTAGCTATTTTTTCATCTCTTGTAACACATCCACAATACTTAATCTTTTTTCGCATTTGCAACACAGCCACAACTCAACTCATATACTTACAACCATAAGAATATAGGAACATAAGAATGGAGGAAACTGCAGCGGGCCTATTGGCCCATACTGGTCAGTCCCGTTTGCACCCAACCCCTATTGCTCATATATCCATCCAACCTATATTTCAAACTATCCAGCGTATTCGAATTAATGATGATATTTGGTAACTTGTTCCACACATCCACTACTCTATTTCCAAACCAATGTTTACCCATATCGCGCCTAAATCTAAATTTGTTTAATTTAAAACCATTACTACGAGTTCGTTCCTGGTTGAATAGTTTGAGTACCTTTGTTATATCACCTTTGTTTAATCCTGACTTCCATTTATACACCTCTATCATATCGCCCCTCGCTCTACGTCTCTCGAGGGAGTGCACATTAAGATGCCTTAACTTGTTTCTGTACTCAAGGTTCCTATTGCTCGGGACTAGTCTGTCATTTTCCTCTGAATTCTTTAGTACGGTGACCGGAACTGAACCTCATAATCCAAATGAGGTCTCACAAGAGCAAGATATAGTTTTAGGATGACCTCGCTAGTCTTGTAACTAACACTCTTTTGTATGAACCCAAGTATTTTGTTAGCCTTGTTTTGAGCAAATACACATTGTTGTCTTCGTTTAAGATTCCTACTTACCATTGCTCCTAAATCTTTCTCACAGTCGGATTTCTCTATAACAACGTTGTTCATTTTATATCTGATCTCACTGTTTGCATTTCCTAGACTTAATACTTTACATTTGTCCACATTAAATTTCATCTGCCATTTTTCAGACCATGTGAAAAATTTGTTTAAATCTTCCGGTAGTTTTGCGGAATCCTCGTCAGATTTAATTACACGCCCTATTTTAGGGTCTTTAGCAAATTTACTTATGTTGCTGTCTACGCCACAGTCACAACACATCTCCCACATTTACAACACACCCACAACACATCTCCCACATTTACAACACACCCACAACACAACATTCACACATACAACACACCCACAACACATCTCCCACATTTACAACACACCCACAACATAACATTCACACATACAACACACCCACAACACATCTCCCACATATACAACACACCCACACACACATACACATCTCCCACATTTACAACACACCCACAACACAACATTCACACATACAACACACCCACAACACATCTCCCACATTTAAAACACACCCACAACACAACATTCACACATACAACACACCCACAACACAACTCCTACCTTTATAACATTTACAACACACTCAGAACACGCTCCCCTACAACACTCACAATACACCCACAACACAGCTCCCACAGCCACAGCACACCCACAACACAACTCGCACCTTTATAACATTTACAACACACCCACAACACAGCTCCCACACCCACAACACAACCCCCACATTTACAACATTTACAACACACCCACAGCACACTCCCAACACTCATAATACAGCTCCCACAGTCACAACACACTCACACTTACAACACAACACAACACAACACAACAAATCACAACACAGTTCCCACACTTATAACACAACACAGCTCCTACACTTATAACACAACACAACACAACACAACAAAACACAACACAACAAAACACAACACAGCTCCCACACTTACAACACAACACAACACAACACAACAGAACACAACTCCCACACTTACAACACAACACAACACAACACAACACAGCACAACACAGCTCCCACACATATAACACAACACATCACGGGTCCCACAATTTCGTAAGACAACTACAGAACTTCTCAGCTTAAGTCACATTACCCTTATTTATAAAACTATGTGTATATAATCTCCTTGATATAACACACACATATCAACTTGCTAATGTTCCTTAATGATATCTTAAGGACGATGGCCAACTGAGAGAACCCCGATGTTTATATGAAGGAATTTAGATTAGGTGCGGAATTTAGGTGGCAGAGATCATAGAAGGAAATAAAGTTGTTTCTCAGCAAGTTGACGGTAAATTTATATGACTGTTAACGTGGCGACAGAAAATTTATATGACGTAACGTGACAAAGTTAATAACTGCAAACGTGGTGACAGAAATTTTAAAATCACGTAGGCCTATACAAAATCAATGTGATAACGATCCAGTCAGCTGCTAAACCACCACTAATTGAAAAGAGAAATATTCCTCCAAGATGATATTCTAAAGAGGCAAATAGACAAGTTAATAACAGCACTTGCCAACACTCGCCGCGTCACTACCTGTTAAACCCACTAATGGATATGTACTCATGATAGTAATTTTCTCTCGTAAATTTCTATGTAATAACAGTGGCGGGGGGTGGCGGCTATCCTGATAACAATCGTGTATGGGTTGATGAGATAACAAGAGACGATAACAGACCTCACTTTGGAAGCTTTGGCAAAAAGAGATGTTTTTTTTTTATAGTGTTGAAAATATTTAGGTAATACTTTATTCTATGTTGGATTATGTTAAGTGAATTAAGTATGACATTATAATAAGTAATCATTTTTAGTAATATTTAGTTTAGGGCAAAAGATATGTTGGAATATAATACGCGTTAAGAGTTCAGTATTAAAATGACTCTGTATAGGTTGTATTAGATAATAAACGATAATAAACTACCAAATTCGTTGTTTAGTTTAAAAAAAGATACCAGATTTTTTAGAAATGTATATTTCATTTTTTTTGTAAATATAATGTATATACTAGAAACTGGAATATATTATATACTTGTTTAAATTTTAGCATTATGATATGCGTATATGCAGGTTGTAGTGAAAAAAGGCGAAAAGATATATCCGCTTTAAAGGTTGGTATAATAGAACATACCTTCATAGAGACACATGCTGCGTAATACAGTGGATATGTTAAGTATACTAAATATAACAGATATTTATGTAAGGAAGTCACCGCTGGAAGAAATTCTTTATATTCACTTAACAGTGTGTCGTACAGTCAAACAATATTCGTATAAGTGGAAGATGATAATTATATAGAAATCAAACCTACAGTAAAATAAAGGAATTTACAATAAAAACTATATAATTTTGATATAGAGATACGACTTTGATGCTGTGAGTGACAACAGTGAGGCAACAAAGAACACAGATAAACATGACACATGGGGAATTTCGTTAAAATGTATTAGACGATCAATGGGCGTTAAAAAAAAAAGGTTAGCAAAATAATGTTGTTGATTTACATTTGTGATGAAAGCGAGGATGTAAACAAAGTGTGAAGGAAAACATGACATAGATTTGTAAAAATATGACAAACAAAATCATGTTGTGTTAAAGCATTTTTTTTCAATTTCACTTCACACACACACACACACACACACACACACACACACACACACACACACACACACACACACACCTCAGTATTCTAACTTAAGCACGCATTTTACTCGATACAGGTTAGTGATGCAGTTAACAATGCATTAATTGTTACAATATTTTGTTGATAACAGAAACCCTTCAAACATAGGAATCAAAATTGGTTAATATCACAGATCCCTTCCTGTAGACACAGCTTTCAGGCAAGGTCGATAACACTCAGGTGAAGCTCCTTCCAGAACTTAATAACAATAATACATAGCAGCTTATTCAAATGTGCCACCACGTCAATGAAAAGAAATATCAATGAATTATACTCGTAAGCAAATAAGTAAATAGTTAAATAATAAATCTGTAAGTAAGTAAACAAGTATTTCGTTATTATTGGTCGATTAATAATAAAACAATAATTGATATTTAAGTAATCAAATAAATAAATAAATGACTAAACAAATAAACTTTAAGCTACTAAGAAATGCCTATACACCTACACTTAAAAGAGTTGTAGGTCAAAGGAGAAGGGAGAGCCGTGTGTGTGTGTGTGAGGTGAGTGATCCATTCTTTATCAGAGGTGCCAGGGATGAGAGGGAGGAGAAGGTTGCAGGTGTGGGTATCACTTCCCAACAGTGTAGAGATGACAAATAACGAATAGAGTTACTATGGCACAGAGGAGAAAGGAGAGTGGTACTAGAGAGAGAGAGAGAGAGAGAGAGAGAGAGAGAGAGAGAGAGAGAGAGAGAGAGAGTTTAGATTTTATGAGTTAAAATAAGGCACGGTATGATGGTTTGAAGACAGAGAGCCTCAAAGGTAAAAGGAAGACACAGAGCAGAAGAAAACATTCCCAGCTACTCACATTGTGATGCCAGTCGACGCGATGGAAGGTCGGGTTAGCTTCTATGTTACACTCGAAGTATACGTCGTCCCCTTCCTTCAACAGACCAGGTTTCACGTTCTTTCCAAACCCAAGACCGACTACCGGTGCGTCTGCAACAACAGTCCTAGTTACTGTAAGCGGACCTGGTTAGCCGGTGGGTGGGTGTCTGGTTAGATGGAGGGGGTAGGTGGGTATCTTGATCACTGGAGGGAGGGTGGGTGGGTGTCTGGATCGCTGGAGGAGGTGGGTGGGTGTCTAGGCTGGAGGGAGGGTGGGTGGGTGTCTGGTTAGATGAAGAGGGTAGGTGGGTATCTTGATCGCTGGAGGGAGGGTGGGTGGGTGTCTGAATCGCTGGAGGGAGGGTGGGTGGGTGTCTAGATCGCTGGAGGAAGGGTGGGTGGGTGTCTGGATCGCTGGAGCGAGGGAGGGTGGGTGGCCCTTAGGTTAGCTGGTAAGTTGGATGGGTGCTGATGTTAGGTGAAAGGAAGGAGGGTGAGATGTGTAAGATTAGCTGGAGAGTGGGAGGGTAGAAGAGAGGTAGGGAGGGCAGGATAAGTGAATGCCAAATTAGCTGGGGTTAGGGAGGGTTGGATTGATGTGTGGTTAGGTGGAAATAGGGGAGGTTACCTGGGTGGATATGAAATTAAGTTGTGGGTGGGAGGGTGGAGTGGATGGCTGAGAGAGAGAGGGAGATACTTCCCATAATTATCATGGTATTTACGCTAACATCCTTCAGGCAACATATGGCACACATTAAACACATATTATAAATACAATACATCAAGTGAATGTGTATCCTGACCTCCATATACAGCCTCCGTTAATTTACACACATAACTAAAACATGTTAAAAATTTAATACACTTCACCAAACACAATGTGTAAATGACTTAACTCTAATAAGATTGAGCCACATGACAATAGTATCAAGCTTCCCCTACTTAAACACTGCCCTCGCCTGGAAATTACTGTGCCAGCACTTAATACCGAAATTTATACCCTTAATAATGTTTCTCAATACACTTTCTGCATCGAACCTGACAGTTGATCTGAACGCTTAATCGCCTGGGTACACATTGGGCTGTTAATTGAAGCGGTGTTTCATTCCGCGAGACTCGATTACATCTCAAGTTGCTCTGTAATAGACCCAAATTATACCTCTTCCTGATTATACTGATTAACAAATATATTACAGTCAATCTCAAGTCTTGATAGGTATTGGACACACTTGGTTTATCTGAATCGATGTTTCAGTTCAAGTATGTCGAAAGTCACTGTGTTAAGTGTGTTAATGTACTCAAATAACTTCAGGTTACATGATGCTGAAGAACATAGATGAATATAAAACACTAGACTCAACTGAAGCAATAATGTTTTTAACTAAAGCCGTCACTTATTTGTACATCCACAATGGCTTGGAACCGAATAACTCGTGAATCAACATAATTGAACTTAACAACGATATAGCTACATTGAACCCCTGTGTGTTATCGAAATTGTGATAAAAAACTTGAATACTGTGAGTCGTCTATAGGAAGTAACTTAATCATCAGTTAACAGGCACTAACACTCTATAACAAACACATTAACACTTTTTAACAAACATCCTCTACGATCGAAAGTTAACAAGCACAAGTTAACAAATACCTATCAAAACAGATGTTAACATACTCTTGGTAACAAATACATGCTTATAAACATATATACCCGTGTTAACAGACGCATGTTAATAAATACATAATGAAAAAGACATTATCGGACAAGCATTACATTATGATCATACATTAACAACCACACATTAAAACAAAATAACAAACACATAAGGTGCAGGTGGACTATTGCTCTCACAGGTACTGGGTGGAAGTGATTATAACTGGAGCAATTTTCCGAACCCGGAACCTAAGTTAACCTAACGCATAATTAACTTCTCCTAATCATTGTTATTCTAATCTATATTATGTAACATAATCTACCTTATCCAGATATAAACAAACATAAACAGTCCCTAATATACTGTACCATCACAGCGATACCCGGAGTTTTAACAAGAAACCTCGGATGTAGTTCCGGGTGCGTATATTAGTTAACTCATTAGTGTTCTATCTAAATCTGCTTTAATGGACCAATAAAAGATTCTTCTCGTTTATAGGGATCAAGTGACTATTCATCCTGAACCAGTACCGCAATAGTTCTTGACCTCACTAAGCTCTAATTAAAGTAATATTTCATCTCTGAGAAATATCAGGCACTGTGTTAGTCAATCTCTAAAACATTTTGTCTCGTGTAAATGGGATTATCTAAATCCTTCCAAGTGACCCAAACTCCTATAACAGCCAGACAAGACTGAGGCTACAGTATGTTTCATCTACGTCAAGTCCTCGATCATAAGTAAAGTTTCACTGTAATGAACACTAATAACTGGTGGTGGTGTGTGGGAGTGTCGTGAGCAGAATGTCATTATCAGCTACCTCGGTGGTCTCCAGGTGTGTGTTACCTTGAGGAGGCAAACCCAAAGGACTAAATCTTATTGGTCTAAATCCCATTGAACGGAATCCTATTGGACAAAATCGCAATTGAGACGTTCTCTACAAGTTAATTCCTGCCGGACAGAATTCCAAGAGATAAAAATCCAACAAGAAAAATCCAGACGAATTTCTGTTGGATAAAATTCCATAGGAAAACTCACCGAAGAAAGACTCATCAGAAAGTTATCTGCAGGATAATATTCGTCCAGAAAATATCCCATTTAGACAAATTTCATCCGACGTAATCCCACCAAGAGAAAAATAATCACCAGAGATTCATGTCGAATGATATCTTATCGGAGAAAAATTCCAACGATCAATGTCCTATTGAGAAGTCTCACCAATTACGCACGCACGCATGCAAGCACGCACGCATGCAAGCACGCATGCAAGCACGCACGCACGCACGCACGCACACGGAGTCTTCATTTTTAGTTCATAGTTTGTAGTGGTATTATTATGTTGTTAAACATAGATAATCTTTGTGAAGGAACTTTATATTAACTGAAAATCAAGATTTCCGTTTTATCTTTTCAACTGAGATAATAACTCTTAATTCTTAAACATCTTCGTTGGATTCCTAACTCATGTATTCTTTCTCTATAGTACTACAGCACTACAATACAATACGCTGTAAAAATATTAGATTTCGGTAAAATTTAGTTAAAGTTCAAAGCCAAAATTAAGCGCCGGGGCTGTGGTGTGTGTTAATAATGCAGGGCTCTCCGTCCGTCTGTCCGTCCGTCTACGAGCTGTGAGCACGAGAACTTTAAAGAATGGTGATAGAATTTACCCAAAAATGTGATTTGGATATATCACCAGAATATCTCAGACGGGTCAAACAATGAACGATTTCTCTAGCTTCCAAAAATAACCAATGGCCTCTTAAATTTCACTGTAGCTCAGGTAATCATTACCTGAGGTGGAAAGTCTGAGAGGGTAATGAGCATCATCCCGAGAATAAAGGAAAAAAGGTAATAGCACCCTTAATGTATTGCACCTGTCTATTTTCTCATTACGTACCTACTCTTTGTCTTCTCTTCTCCAGCTTCCTCAGGTGTCTTGTAGACCTTGTCTTCATGTGTGTGTGTAATAAGTAAATAAATAATACTTAAGATAATAAATTAACATGTTATCGAGAAAACATGGCAGCCAAAGGGCTGAAAATATACAGTCAACAGATGGGAATGGGTCATTTGATTGACAAATTTTATGTAAGAAACATAAGGGCATCATTGATAAGTATGAGGAAGCAGAGCGATCCCATCTTGGTGCATTGGGGACGCCACAGGTGAGTGAGTGAAAGGTGAAGACAGCCCCTCGATCGACCCTGGGTTTCGGAAAAGTCTTATACATGGCTTACAGACTTCCTTAGTGACCGATTCCAAGCCGTACTCATCGTATGGCTTGGCGTCGGTCACTAAGGAAGTCTGTAAGCCATGGTATAAGACTTCACCGAAACCCAGGGTAGATTGATTTGCTAATTAAATTGTGGTCGACTAGGTCGAATGCCTTGGTGAAGTCAATGAAGGCGACAGCCACAGACGTCTTGCGTTTCTCTAGATGGCGGTATATGTAGTCGAGAAAGCGGATGAGACAGTGGGTGGTGGAGTAAGTTTTCATATTGTCAAATCGCTGATGATATATGGCGCCTGCAATATCGGCATAAGCCCAGTCAAAATCGAAACATTCGCAAATTAAGAATTGGTATTGGGGAGATGGCAATGGGTCGTAACTCATTTAAGGATTGTGGGCTCGTTGACTTGGGCACTGGTGACACATAATTATGAGGTCCTCCAGTCAGCTGGGCATCTTGCTTGACTGAGGGAAGCATTGGTGATGGAGCAGAGGGGTTTAGCTAGTTCCGGGAGAACGTCTTGTTTCATTAATAAGCTAATGTAGGTGGTGGAGCGCTTTAACTTCTGTTTGTCCAGATGTCTTGCTACTTCAAATTCTTCCACGAAGTCACTGGGAGAGTGTGCTGGTAGCTAAGCAGCGAGACTGGTTGTGTCAAGCATATAGTTACGAATTGGTCGTTAGATTACTCAGCTGCGTCATCATTAGTAGAGTCCACAGATTTCTTTAATCTTACCATACCACTGACTGATGTTGGTCTGCTTCGGGTGCTGCAGTTTGGTTGGGTCGTAAGACTTCTGCGAAGTGCGAATTTCACGGATAACTTGGTTGGGAAGGGCCCAGTAGCGGTTGTGGTCATTGAGATAAAAGGCGCTGTTTCTCTGCTGTATAAATCTTTTGATCCGAGGTTTGATCCAGGGCAAGTCAGCTGGTCGTAATCTGACTGACATCCCAAGGAAGAAGTGGTGGTAAGCTTCCGTGGTGGTGTTGTGGTAATTTGTTCATTTGGTGTCCACGTCATCCACATTTAGTAATTCAGTCCAGGGATGGTGAACTATCCACTGCCCGAAAAGACACACTGCAGAGTCAGTAATCGGCCTGTAGGTCTTGATGTAGGGTCTCTGCACTTAGGTGGTAGTGGCAGCTGGAGACTAAAGCACTGATAGGTGTGTGCTACACCCGATAGGAGGCATTGGTTGAGGTGGTTGGTACTGGTCCGCTCAGTGAGT